GAAGGCTGCGGGGACCGCCAGCGGTGGCCAAGGTCTTCCCCTCTCGCCCTCTTGGGAAAGGCGGCTGTTGCGGGCTGCGTCCTTGGGGGGTCATCGCGCCGGGCGCCCGCTCTCTGACCCGCTAATGGGAGGCCATTAGGAGGGAGCCCGTCTGCGGTGGCCACCAGCAGTGGGGAGACAGGCCTGCGGCCGTCCTCCAGCGGCTGCTCTCCTGGGGCTCACCGATCGCTCCGTGCCGGCCACCTCAGTGGAGCTGCGCGTCGCCGAGTGGCTACGCGAGGAGGACGTGGGCCTGGAGTCGGGTCTAGGTGGGCAGAGTGGAAGGGTGGTGGGGGAGTGAATAAAGCACCGGGGCAAACCTGGGCGATGACAAGTAGGTAGCAGGCCTGGAGCCTCCCAGTGACAGCGTGTGAGCTACGGGCGGTAAGGCCGATGGGTCTTTACCAGGACGTTAACATCCTAAGTCTCCGGCTTCCAGCATGGTTTCCCACCCCAGCACTCTAAGACTTGCCCCCTCGAGGTCTGTCTGCTCCAGTGCATTGAAAACTGTAAAGGCAGGAAGTACTGCGAGGCCCGTACTGGAAGCTACATACACCGAGGGTGCTCAGGAGATACTTGAACGAATGACAAGCGCTGGGAGACTCTTGAAGGTCAAACTTCCCAGAGACGGGGAAAGACGGTGCTGGGTTTCTTTCCCTTTCCCGTCCAGCCCTGTCTGTCTTTGGGCAGCGTAGTTGCTGGATTAAGATCGGGCTGGGCCCACCTTTGAGGCTGAGAAATTTGCGCTTGCCTCCCCATTCCCAGGGTTTCTGCTACACATTCTTCACCTTTCAGCTTGGACTTGGCCAAGAGAAAAACCCTGGGGCTTCCCTAGATGAATCCTATACTCCCGCATTCGCTCACAGCCCTCTGCTACTTTGTTTCTTGCATTTACTGCTCTGCACTAGAATGAACTATTAATTTGCAAAATGTTTCCTTTAAGATACAGTGCTCTTTGTTATAGCCGTGCCACCCTGAACGTGCCCCATCTCGTCTGATCTCAGAAGCTAAGCAGGGTCGGGCCCGGTTAGTACTTGGATGGGAGACCACCTAGGAAGACCGGTTGCTGTAGGT